AATATATTGTAAGTTTAGCACATATTCACAATTTTTCAAAATTATATACTTTGATTTATTCACCTAAAAAAATTAGCTTTTATTTTTTACAAAGCAAACTTTACAAAAACTGTAAAATCTTACTTCTGGTTGTCTTATGTATTTATTATTCTTTCATGAATTTCTAATGTTTTTGTTTAATTTATAAAGTATGCGTTTTATTAAGAAGATAAAATTACTTAATTTTTTTGTAAACAAATAGATTATGGAAAATATATATTAAAATTAAGGAATTTATTTTAAATCGATTCGTCTTACTTTGTTTGTATTTCTATTTATTGCGCGTGCGTGTGTATATGCGCGCGCTCGCATGCACTCACAGCACTGTATGTGTAATATATAATATTCCAGTAAATGTAGAAAATATTGAGAAAAGATTTTTCTGATAAATCTTACTGCTTTGTACACTAGAGCTGATATAACTATTTTTATTAATTGCATATTTTATTTAACATATTATTGATTAAGAAATCGTTTAATTATAATATGTTCATAAAAAAATTGTTATAATGATGTAATTGTATTTTCAAAGAATCTGCAGTCATAATTGATATTAAATTATTTTGTTTAGAAAAAATTACAATGTTATATTTAAGGTTTAGATATCACTAAATTCCATAAACATTCAATATTCGAAGTCAAAACGCTAGCTTTTAATTTTTCCTTTCGGTAATTTGCTTTTTATAATCATAGCAAATAATTATAATAATCTTCTATTGCGAAAATATAAAATAGATATAATTAAATGCTGTAAATATTTATAAAATATTAATTTAAAATTTAGCATATATATTTATTATTTATGACAAATTATTTTTAGCCAATTTATTCGTATCGATATATACATAATATATGCTTTATTAAAAAAGTTTTTATTGTAACTTATGGTTATAGATTTTAGAAAATCATTGTAAATGTTATGAGTATATGGATAAATGGCATGATTCTATTAACAAAAAAATGTTAGAAAATAGAAACAATGAGAGAGTACTTCCTTAATATTTCGTTTCTTTCTCATTCCCTTCCTTTCTCGTCTCCCCTCCCCCTCCCCTCCCACCGCCCCTCTCGCAGCCCCCTCACATACTGCACTCTGTCTCTCTCACATACATATTTTGACTGACAGTCATGGTATTTACCCGTGATCATAAGACCGTAAACAAAATTAGTATCTTGCTTGACTTGTTTCATCTATACTTTACAACTACATGTGTACTTACGCATATATACATTACAAACATATGCATACGCTCCCATAGCGCTATCTTTTGCTATCCATTCATCTCTCTCTCTCTCTCTCTCTCTCTCTCTCTCTCTCTCTATCTATCAATCTCTATCTATCAATCTCTATCAATCTCTATCTATCTCTATCTATCTCTATCTATCTCTCTCTATCCTCTCTCCAATACTAACAATAATTAATCTCTCGATCTGTTTTTCGTATTCATAATTTAAAATTAGCCGCATTCCCAAGACAACCGTTTAGTGGTGTTTAGATATAATTTTTTTACGATGGAATAGCTGTCGAGTTACCGTAAACATATTGAATCTCGCGATAATATATTGTCGATTTACGGCTCTCCATTATAATGGAGAGATAATCACACCTATTTTGCAACATTTTACAAATGCCCTAAAGAATTTCGGCTGTTAAGTAGCGCCTAGGAGAGGCGAATGGTTAGAATTTCGGATAAGTTATCGTATTATCATCAGGCTCTCCCTCTCCTTCCCGCTTGCTTCCCTCGTCCACGGCGAATTCGTTGTCGGAGCACGGATGCAACGGGCGAATACGTACTCTCGGTGTGTTTCTGTCTCTCCCTCGGCACGTTGCGCAACCACGGCGATAAAGTCCCTCTAAGCGTGTGTACATGTGTGCAGGTCATGGCCGTCTTCGTGAGCGCGACGAGGCTCGTGCTGCTGTCGCCGCCGTTGCCGCCGCCGCCGACGCCACAGTTGCCGCTACCACCTCCGCGACCGCCTCCGCCACTGCCTCCGCCACTGCCTCCGTCACCTACGACGACCACGACGACGACCACGACGACGACCACGACGACGACAATGACGGCGACGACAACGATGACCCATCCAGCAATGACTGCTCCTCGACGACTCCGACTCCGACACCGCAATCCGAGAATACGCACGTGCTGCCGGGGGCCGGATTCGCGACCTCCTTCCGCTTTCACGCCTCTATCGATGCTGGCAACGACGCACGAAGACAGCCCCAGGTGCAGCGGACCCCCTGCACGCGACGCTTCAGCATCATCACGAGGGGCGCGCCCCACTAGGCGCCCAAGGCTACCACCGCCCCAAGCAGCGGTCGCGAGCCTCTGCTCTCACTTCCCCCCTTTTTCATTTCCTCCGACTTTGCATTTCACATGACTAGGCGACTTGGTAGGGCCTCGCGCTTTACTGGTAATGAAAAAAGGCTATACGATTCTTAGAATTGGAAAATAATACAGTGGAAGTAAGGGGCATTCATTCGTTTATCACGTGAAGGCAATTTTGCTACATTTTGATGGTCTTCCCATGCTTTTATGCTAGGAAGATGATTATTTGCAGCTGTAATAATATTTCTTGCACATTGGAATCACGCGGTTTATTAATGACTGCAAATAATAGATTTTATTATATACTCGTGTATGTTCAATTACATGACATTCTTAACCATTCAAACAAACAATTTAACTAAACTGCTGCCTACTCACGAAATTCCTCTGTTATAAATACAAAATTGAGTTTTTATATGACATTATTATTATTGTTCATTAGAAGTTAAGTGCTTTCGAGTATTTGGGCCGATAGATATCTACATGTGGATATAATAATTTAAAATTTTTCTTTTTTTCAAGCATTATCAAATTCATTCGACAAATTGTATCTCTTCTTTTTTTTTCAAAATCTTCCACTGATAATTGATATTCGAAAGCAAACCATTACCACTTCTTATATCAGAAATTTATTAAATAAAAGAAATGAAAGAAAAACATAACGAATAAAATACAAATATACGGATTGCGTTGATAAAATATTTCTTTCAATAAGAACTAAATCTGTATAGAGACACCAATTCATACTAAAGATATTAAAAACTTTTTAATTACTATTCATTCTATTTTAAAATTCAATGTAATTTAATTCAGAAATCAACTTCGATTGTGAATAAAGTAAATAATAATATAATATAGCTTAACTAGTATTGGATAAAGACATTGGAATATACTTGGAATACTTTGACGCCAATCATAAATGTTAATTATAATAAATTTTAGCCTTTGATTATGTCTCTAATCCAATAAGTATTTTGTTTAAAAAAAAAAAAAAAAAAAAAAATTGAAGACATTTATTAAGAATTATAAATTAAAATGATAATTAATACATTAAAATGTTAAATGTCTATTTTCAATGTAATATCATTTTCAATTAGGATCGCTCTTCTTTAAACTATTTAACGATTTTGAATATTTATACCTTTTAGTAATGCTAATAAAATGGTTATTAAAAATTGAAGACCAAACAATAATGAATGATAATTTTTATTATAAAAATACTTGACGACCAATTCAATAAACGCATGTCCTATATATTACTTTTTTTTTTTAATTTTTCTTCAATTTTTTCTTTTTCACTTTTAATATTTTAAGTACATGCTTCGTTCATAATTATTTTTGTATTTTGACGTATTATCTATTTAGCGTACATTTACTTTAGTGATTAATTAATTTTTGTCAAACAAACTGGTAAAACGAACCATTGAATATTTTTATTCATCATATATTTTTGTACCTTCGATTGTAAAATCAATTTTATGAATTTATCAGAGCCAAAAGATAAAATAAATTATAATAATCTTTGAATATATAATCTCAATATTTTATTCAATTACAAGTATTGAACTTAATAAGTTCAGCAATATAAGATTCCGACAGCTCGCTATGAATAATAACATTTGCTCGAATCCTCCGCGACCTCATTTAATAACGTTTGTGAAAATTCACTGCTCTATTGAGTTCTGTAAAATTAAATTGAAAAGAAAAATTATGCATTAAAATTTTACTCTATTTCATCAGTGTCAAGGATCGGATTAAGTGAAAAAAAAAAAAAAAATTTATCAATTTTAACTATGTTCTTCCATAACGCTTAAAAAAAATTTTCTGTCGCCTATTGTTTTATTAAGTCATACATTTAAATTTAATTGTTAAATTATAGTGTGAAATATTTAATGCCATTGTATTCATTATTTATCACGATGCTACTATAATAACACTATATTAGTTCTAACAAATGCAGTATTATGATGAATATTGTGATAAAAAAATATAGATATAACGATATACAATAATTTATAAATTCTTATATTAATGTAGTTTTTAAATTATTTTTTTATTTGATTTTTTGATAATTGTTGAAATGTTTCAATTGTAATTGATGCTTCTGATCAATAATCACAACTTTTATTAAGACAATATCATGGTATTAGATATTTAGCGTACAATATCATAAATTCCGAGTTTGTTCTTCTTCTTTCTTTTTTTTCCTTTTAGGATTTCATGTAATGCTTTATCTAAGGAAATTACGGAGTTAAAAATAAACTTAAATTTTAATAGCTTCGCTGTTGGTGATCTCATGTTATTGAACATTCGTGTACTATAGATTCATAATAAGATTACAGTAATAAAAAAGAAAAAAAAAAGAAAAAAAAAATAGTCGTAATAATATTTAGTATGAAATACAATTTAATTTCATAGTCATTTAAAAATACTATCTACTTAAAATTTTCTCAAGCATAATACGCGTGTCATTAGGCAACGATGTTACCATCATACAATTGTTATTAAGTGATAAAAGTGATAAAAGGGCAAATATTATTTAGAAGTATATACACACATTTATTTTTAGCATTTATATTTATATATATATATATATATATATATATATATATATAAAATAGGTTTTACATTCGTGTTTAAATAAAAAATTGCTCGAGATACTCGATTTTTTAATTATGTCTTATTGCTGAAATAAGTTCGTCTTCGTTTTCTTCCTTGATAGCCTCTCTACAACGTTGGACAGTGCTTGTTGCTGCTTTACCGACTAAAACAAATAAATTTCTAAAATTATTATAGATTTGAGAAACACCGTTTTTATAATAATATGTTTTAAATAATTTACTGAACACCAATTAAATTCACATAATAAATAAGATTCATAATTATGTAAATATAAATTTTTAAAAACAACAATTCTATATATATTATATATTAATTAATTTCAATTATTGCGAATACAGCGTCTTATTATTATTATTGTTGTTGTTGTTGTTGTTGTTGTTGTTGTTGTTGTTGTTATAAATTTATATAATTTATGCGATCCACGAGAATGATTTGCCTTGGAGCATTAATATTCGTTATAAATACCTATAATATCAATATTATTATAGATAGTTATAAATAGTTTGTAAATATATTGATATTTTAAGATAGAATAAAGTTAAAGTTGAAAATCATTGTTTCGACAATGACGTTATCGAAATTGTTCAAGAATTAATAGTCAAAGATATTTTTTTTTATCAGAAACGTATGTCCCGCATTTTACTGAAATAGTATTCGTTTATTTTAAGATAATTCAAATCTTAAGAACTTAAATCTACAAAGCTAGAAAATGTCGCCATTAATCTATTTTCAGTTACCTCAAAAAGCCTCCATCATAAAGTACAAGATTAGGCGAGTCAAAAGCCTGTTTACAAGTCAATAAATTGCTAGTGAGAATGATAATACTAAGTTTATCTTATTATTGGATCAAATAAGAGTCTACTAAATAACCTAAAAATCATAAGTTAACGGTGGCACACGAGCGCATGGACGAAGAGAATTATATAAAATCCTGATAGAAACCTCTGAAGCGTGAGGCATTCTGTATTCCCACATTCAGCTCCTTGAGTGCGCCGACAAATTCGCCGTAGCTCTTCGATCTAATCTCGTGATCTCTGATAAGATCACCGTTAATGATCTTAAGCTGGTTCAGTCGCATCCTCATGCCCTCGATATCCTCGAGGATCCTCGCGTCCTCCAGGCGCACTATCAAGTTCTTCACGTGGCTCGAACTACCCGCCGTTTCCGCTTGAAGTCGTGCGTCTACTTCCTTGTATCCTTTTTGCCATGACAGGGACAAAAGTTCATTACGTTAATGTCGTCTTTAATGAATTATTATCAATATTGGTCGTGTAGATCGTGTAATGACCAATCATTAGCAGAATTAAGTGCCATCTTTACCATTCGATTAGGCGTGCAATTATAATATAACATCGATGACGTTGCTCGTAAGATAAAGCGCTACCATGAGTTTCAAGATTAGAATTTAAAATGATAGAAAGCGCCAAATATAAGGAATATTATATAATATAATAATCTCGCAAATGCCACGTAATGTTTCGAAAAGGAGAATTTATTGTTTCGATAAGGTAGAGGAGCGGCTTTTAGGAGTCGTGCGTGCATCAATGAAACGAATCTGCAGTAATAATGGAGTAGCGAGGATAACGAAAAAAAGGCCGACGTCTCAATAACCTTTGAATCTCTGGAGGGCGTCGAGCATGCGTCTCTCTTCCTCGGGGAAGTTGGCCTCGGAACTGAGCTCGCGCAGCCCGAGGTAAATCGCGAGGGCCTGCACGACGTCACCGGCGAAGACTGGATCCTCGGTGCGTATCTTGAGTTTGCTCGTGGCGTCGAGCTCGATGCAGTGAATCCGCTGATCGCGAAGTCCGCGCAGCCAAACCTCGAGGTGGCCTGCCTTCGGCCCGACCTCCGCCACCTCGATCTCCGCCGAGAGGATGAGGCTTTGGTTGAGCCAGAGGGCGACGCGCTGTGCTCGCTCCGGCACCTGCGATCCAAAGCGAAAATGCCGCTAAAGTAGAATCCGAAGGTCGTAGTCGGTCTCCCGGCCTCGACGTTCTCATTATCTTTCGAATACGGCACTCGCCGTAGCCGCGTAATCCGCTCGTGGGATTCACCTACTACACGGGGTTGTTAAGAAAATTGTTTTCGTGAAATGGTTGGCATTAGCGCCGGGGAGTCTGGTAAAAAAAAAAAAGAAAAAAGAAAAAAAAAAACAAAGAAAAAAAAACAAAACGAAACGAAACAAAATACAAAAAACATAAAACAAAAAACAGAAAAGAAAAACAAAAAGAGAAAGAAAAGTCTTCGTGCTGAGCGTAACTGCTTTCGAAATCATCCTAATTTTACAACTTTAGTTTAAATTACATGTCTCTGGGTCATTTAAGTTTATGGAAATGCAACTATTCTTCGTATTTCGCATTTAACATGCTACTTGGAAGCGCTGAAATATTTGTTACGAACATTGCACAATGAGCCAAATTAGTTTCTTGGGAAGGCCAAATAAAATTGAGAACGGCAGATAGCTCCTTACGTCTATTTTAGTCCTTAAAAAAATTTTTAATCGGTAAGAGAGTGCTCGTGTGGAATGTAACGTAGTTAGTACGATGGTCGAAATTGGCAGTTTTACAATGAAACATCCATTATCGAGTTAATAATTGCTTTTCATTATTGTTGTTGTTATTGTTGTTATTGATATTATTGTTATTATTGTTATTACTATTACTATTGTTGTAGTTGTTGTCGTCGTCGTTGTCGTTATCATTATCATTATCATTATGATTGTTATTATTATTATTATTATTATTATTATTATTATTATTATTATTATTATTATTATAAGTATTTTCATATAATATAAGCTACAGGACGAAGGAGCTTAATGCATTGTTAATCATTATAGACGATGTTTTTGTGGAGAGCCCGATGGTTTTATTAGCTGGTCACGCGATATTGTTTGTATTGGGTGAGGTGATATTTGAATGAGAAAATTATTTGATCGTTGTCACGCTCGCTCCTGTAAAGAACAATTTAATGCGAAGATAAGCTTTCAACCTGCATAACGACACCGCGATCTTCGAGACCATCCGGGAGCTGCTGAGGCCGGGGAATGGACTCGTACATGCAGAGCTGGGGAAGTTGATGGGTGAGCTCGAGCACCATCATCAGATCCGACCCCGAGGCTCCGACGCACGTTTTAACGTGTATGTCGACGGGTCCATTTTTTGGAAAACGCAATGCAATTTCCAGCTCACCCTGGGGTTTCGATGGATGAATCACCAAACTCTCGCCTTCGAAAATACCCTCGGCAAAGACCATGGAGTAGTAGATCTGCGACAAATTAATTTTTAATATACCTCAACTTACCGCGATTACATTATAAGGAGGATGCTTCTTTTTTCATGTCTTTTTTCTCTTTTTATATAATGGCAATATATGGCCTGAAATATCGTGCGATTAAGATGGCGTTGCAACAATTACAAATTAACGTCCTCGATTATCCAGCATAGATAGATGGATGGATATACAGTCGGGTGGTTTATGGATTGGAAAGCGAGATTATGGATGGGAAAAATATGTGCCAGTGAGCGGTTCGGTTGCGGGCATTTGAAGCGTCAGGGCATCGATCGAGAGCGCATGCGACGCTCTCCGCTTGACATTAGCATGAGCTAGCTCCCTGGCGTCGTAGGTAGCGCGAAAATAAAGAGTCACGCGGCAGCCAGGGCGAGAGAGGCGTCAGCCGCGCTTGTCAAGAATGATATATGAGCGGCCGGTCGTCGAAAGGACGGGAGATATTGGCTTTTCACTTACGAGCAATCCCGGTCCAGACGCCAGCCCGAGTCGCACAGCGCCGCGAGCCGAGGCGATGCTCACTGCCAGCTTCGAGCCGAGATAATAATTCGACTCGGCGACAGTTCGTTGGCGCAATTCCATCTGCAGGGCTTGTTTCTTGGCCATGAGCTCGCGGTGCTCGTCCCCGAGCTCCGGTGTCTCCATCGCCGAGCCCACCGCGTACCCACGGACTGTCCAATTCGCAAACAGTGAATAATGCCTTTTAAAACGCTGCCTTCCTCGCTCTCGCTCAGATGCCAATCTTACCCAACAGCTTCGACCGCCCAGTCTTTAATTTTCCTTAGCTCCTTTGCTTTATTTAGCTTGAGCATTAACTCGACTCGGCGAGGCTAATATTCGCGGAAACGTTTATCGCTCGAGGGCCCATAATTAATAGCGATACGTTGTTGAAAGGTCGATTTTAAAGAAGTGGCAGGGACATTGACAATTATTAACAATTACCCGGGGCCGGTCGTATGCCATTTGGCGTCTTGGTATATTCGTGGTTTTGAGAAAAATTCAAGGGATATGCGAGTGGCCTGATTTTTCAACTTGCTTTGCCAAATGTTTCCGAGTATCGTGAAAGGGCTTGGTCGTGCCAAACATCACGCCCAAAGACACGAAATCGAATTGCCTTTTTATCTCGCCTTTCTGTATCTCTCTAGATCGCCTCGATACGCGCTTAATCGGTAAAAAGCTTTTACAAAGGCATTGGGCATCCTTAATGTTTTTAATGTAAAGCAATTCCGTTATTTATTTATTATAATGGAGATATTGTTGTGATATTTTTGAATGATATTAAGAACTTTGAGTGGGCGAGAAATTAAGGAAAGTTACTAATGAAAGTAGGAAAGTGCGCGAGCAATTTTCAGTTAATCTAGCTTTTACAACGAGATTCCGTGAAATCGTTAATTACGAAGCTACAAAGTTTTGCTTATAAATTCAAGTTCAATTCATCGTTAATAAATCGTATGTTATCGCAGTAAGTATCGCCGATATACCATTGGAGGAAAAGTGTACCGATTAATACAATTGACAAACATTAATATCAATAGAAATAAGCATGCTTTCGTTACAATTTAATACAGTTTTGGCAATATTATTCGATGTTAATTCTCTCTACCTTCACCAGCGACAGTAACTATCACCAGGTCCGGCTTCCCGGCTCTTCGGTAATCCGCCTCGACAAGCCCGGCAATTGGTGCGCCCATTTGTACCTTGAAGATGACCTGGCCATTGGAGCATAAGCGTGCATCTACCTTCCCACTACTCCATCCCGTTAAAAGTTCTACAGCTCCGTCGCCATTTAGATCGAAAGCTCTTATCGTAATTACTTTGTGCTTCGACTAGAACATTCAAGACAAATTAGTTTGACAATTTTGTTGTTTTTTTTTTCTCTGCTTTTTTTCATTTATGTTTTTCTTTTTCTTTTCTTTTTTGTTTACACTGCCTATTTCTTATTATTAAATGTGTATTAGCCGAATGGTCAAACGCTTGGCAATGTGTTTGTACGACTATCTTATAGTCTGATTTTAAAGTGAGTTGATCGATGAGATTTTTCCGTCATAATAATAGAATTTCCCGTGTAATTTTTTTAATGAATGGCAAAATACGATCACGAACCGATCTAACCAATTAAAAATTCTATTTATAAAGTGAATTAATACAAACAACATTAATACCTTACGATGGGTATTCAATCATTCAGTTCAATAAATACTAACCTCCCCTAATTATCCTAATTGATCCAAACACATCGTATTAAAAACTATTAATAAAAAATAAAAAATAAAAAATAAAAAAAAAAAAATCCCTTTTTAATAATGATTCTTGCCGTTCGTTTATTATTCATAAATCTCTTGCGCAAAGCTTTCATAACTAAATTAAAACGGCTATTATTAGGCACTATTATTGTCATTTGAGATGTACGATATATTCGTTACTTTAATGCGCCAAAGTATGTTCCCAGAGTTGTAGACGCCGACCGTTCCATTTCCCTCCAAGCAAGCCGCGTAGGCGAATTCTCTCTCGGAAAGTGCATGTAACGCGATGACAGGTGCATTCTCCACAGTATCCCACAAAATTGCGTCTTCTTTTTGCGCTCTGATTCCAAAATCTGTCGTCCCTGACAAAAGCTTTGAACAATGAAAATAAATAATTAAAGAAGAAAAAGAAGAAGAAGAGAAATGGGTTGGTGGAGGGGTAGGGGATGGGTGGGGAGATAGCGTGAGAGCTGGTATAGAATGGGGGGGGGGGAGTAACGAAAGAATGAAAAATGAACAAGAACCAAAGAATCCATATACAATTTAAATAAAGGCCTATAAGCGCCATTGTGCAATGTAACTTCATATTTAATTTACTAAAAACACGTAACGTGGCCTATGTTATTTTACATTACCGTATATTTTTTTACTTAAAAACTCTCTTATCTGCAATACATGTTATTGAAAAAAAGACTTCGGATACTTTTATCAAAAATTCAATAAGGCTGCGTGAAAACAAAGACAAAGCTACTCCGGCTTATCGATGACTTTAAGATGCCCAATTAACATGCGATCGGACCCAAGGGAACCTCGTTCAACCAAGCAAACAGCGACACGATGACAAAAGTCACTCGAACCACGTGACCCATCAATAGTCCCGCATTTGGGCTAAAAGACCGTTACGTAATGTGGGCTTAAAAAAAAAAAGAATTTTCAAAGTTCGTCGAATGAAAAAGTTCGGCTCGTCGTTACGAGTGAAAAGTAAAAATAGATAAAGTAATCACTTCGTTATCGCCGTCGCCGTCGAAGTCAAAAACTGCCAGAGCGGTGACCTTTTCCCGTGCCACTGTCCAGAAGACCTCGTCTGCCTGGATATCCAGTACGGTGATGGAGCAATTGCCACCGACGACGACGACGTGATTCGGCAGCCAGCCGAGTTTTCCCACGGTGATACAGTAGGCACCGTCAGGTAGCTGCATGCATTTACGAGTCGAGGAGTTAATGACGTGAGCGACGCCACGGAGACGAGTTTCAAGATAAATGCGAGTCTCTTGTGAGGTATTCGTTTCGGGGATGAAAAAACTACTTCCTTGATGTTTTTTCTATGTTACGATATTGGGTAGTTTTTGTATGAGTGACCATCGGCTAAGTCCGTAAGATCCTCCTCAAAATTTCAATTGAATAAACGAAAATTCATTAAAAACTATTCATTTTCCGTACATTCGTAAAAGCCATTATTGCTTTGAATTCGACAACTTTGGCGAATTTATGCCATCTTATGTAATCGACAAATTTGCAATGGATCGATACTTTTTCGATCGCGGGCTCGATCATTTAACAACTCTAATATGTCGTTATGGGTATACAAATTTTAACACAAATTGCTACACGTACTTCCTTATAAAATAAATCCGCATTATCTTCAATTTGATAGGCAAGAATATGAGTTGACGTTCCAACGAAAAATACATCTCTTCCATCTTCTCCTAATCGACCTGTATGGAGTGCCGTGACCTTACGATTTTGAAGATTCATTCACATGAGTTTTTAATATATCCCAGATACATGAAACAATAAAGTAATTATTATTTGGTTGATAAATACGTTATTTTATGATTCAGTAACGTTATTGCACATTTTATTTGAAACTATCGAGTAATCTTTTTGAGATAAAATCTTACGCAATGTTTATTAAAATGCAGCAGAAATTTGATATATATTTTTAAATAACTAATAAATTATAACTTAAGATTAATATTCGTGTATATATATATATATATATATATATATATATTGATTTGATATATTAATATTGAATTCTTAACTGAAAACGATTAAATTACTCATCTGAAGCTTATCCATAGTTATATGTAATCTATTACAATTTCTTTTAAAAATATATTTCTATTTAGAATTCTGCAAAATTCTAAAAAGAAATTAAATATATTAAAGAATATCGTTGAAGCTTTCTCAATTATATTTCAGAGTTTTTGTATTTTCGGAAAATTAAAAACGATAAGCAATTAGAAAAATAAAAAAAAAAAAATTAAAAACAAATTTTAAGTTAAACTTGTTTCATTTAAACTACGTGTATTTTTAAACATTTGTCATTAAGTTTTAAAAAACATAAATCGTATGTGATGAGAAAGTATGCGTTTTACATATTCCAGCGTACGAAGAAAGAATTATGGTAATTCTCGAGACTAAAGGAAATTTCAAATTAGTAGCAACTAAATATATGTATAATTGATTAATTTTTTATTATATTATTTATTATATTTAATAATTATTTGTAATATTTTTCTTTTCTTTCTCCATTCGCTTCGTTAGTTTAGAAAAGAAGAAAAAATTACAATTTAAAATGTATATTGGATTTATTTATTATAAATACTCGCTATTATTATATGTTTAATATGTCAGAGAATACGTTAGAGAATACGTTATTTATGACTTATAAATTTGCCTTAAAAACGAATTCTACAAGTTCGATTTCATTTTAATAAAAAGTATATCAAGTTCTATAAATAGTAGTTATGTCATTGATTATTAACGAGCCAACATGTACGAGTGTCTTTATGTAATACATCGAACGGTAATCGATATATTATTTAGAGAAGGAGATAAGAGCAGAGGTTTCTTAAGATTTTATTTATAAGTTTCTGATCCGAAAATAAATATTTCAGCGGAAATTCGAATGCGAGCACCTTAAAATTCTAGGACCTTCGAGAAATAATGAATCCCGTCTATCTCAAGCACATCTTCTCTACTGACAGAGACACGATAATGTATCGTTCAAACACGCGCAATCTTATCTCGTCGAAGATTATTCTAAATCTTACGAAGCGCGTATGCTTTTGGAGCTCGAGAGATTCGTAAGACCGGGTAAGCGCGCAGAAGGAAGGCGACCGGCGCGGGAGTCAACAAACCTCCTTGCCGATCTGTAGCTCCGCGAGCTCGCCACTCCAGGTGAGCCTGGCCTCGGAGCTCGGCTCCTGGTGATTAGAGACTCCAGCCTCCCGGTGCGGACTGTGCACGAGGACGTTACCGGAGGAGGTGGCCGCGGTTAAGCAGGCGTGCGAGCCGTCGAACTTGCCGCTGGCCACGAATCCGGCCTCGAGTCGTCGATGTAGGTTCAGCGAGAACGTCGCCATTTTCCATTGATCGACGTGGCGGCGTCCCGACCGTCCGAGACCTGACGCCGGCAGGTGCTCACTCCTATCGATTTTACCCTCTACTCTCCGCCGTTCGCCGCCCATTCGGTCACGACCCCTCGCTAACGGATCACCTGCCAAGGTTCCGTGCCCGATGTAACCACGACGATAAACGCTTTTTGCGTGGCAATCGATTTTTACAAAACGCTCTTTACCAGGCGAGTTTTATCAACGATCCGTCGAGATTAATTAAAGGAGCTTTTTGAGCAGTTGCAAGCTGTCGGGCTGAACGTTAATGAGGACAATAACGATGCTTTCAGGAATGAGGGAAAGTAAGAAGAAGTCCATACAAATGCGCAGAATTAAACATAAATTTATAACTTAAATCTCAACCGTTTTATTCAATACAATAGTAAGAATATAATTATTATTGCATTCTTTGTAATCGTTAAGTGTTAAATTTCACATAATTATTATTTAAAAATTTTGCTGTAATAATTGGTGGCTCGATGATCTTTAACTTTGTTTTCCTTTTATTTTGTCACCTTCTTTTTTTTTATCATTATCTTTTTCTCTTTTTTTCTTCTTCTTTTTTTTTCATTTTTTTTTTTTTTTTTTTTTTTTTTTTTATTATATATTACGAATTTTATTAAAATTTACAAATTTCAATGAAATCCTTCACATTCTTCCAATGAAATAGACTTGGATGTATTATTTTCATTGAGATGTCCATGAAATTTGCACACGTTCATGATATGAGCCCAGTTTCATTTCCAACAAAACGTTTGCAAGTGTACAAGAAGAATATACATATAAACATGAGGTAGTTACTGTCGCTGGGCACCGCCACCTCCACTGCCAACAGTATTGCCGGCCTCTGGATTAGTTGCAGATGATAAGACGACGAATATAACTGCTGGTATTACGTACATCCACTGGAAACACGTGTATTTACACATTTAGTTAAACTTATGTTTACAATAAATATTTCCTAAATGGCTTATTAATTACAGTTGGGATCATTAAAATTTGTAATTAAATTAGATAGATGATTTACTTTCTTTTCTTTCTTTCATTCATGAATACCTTTAGTAAATAATATTAAGTAAATGAGCATAAAACATAATGGTGAAATAAATATCTTTCTTACGTATTTAGCGAAGAAGGAACGATTATCTTTATTCTCCCCGCTTTCTCTAGCTTGTTTCTCCCTTTCGAGTTTCTGAATGTAGGTGGCGGTATCAGGCATTGGACCACCATCAGGATATTTCATTTGCACGTCGGTAGTCCACGATTGTGCCGTTGGATTCTTCAATGAACAAGGACCTTGCGATACCAAATTAACTGCTATAGGTTCAGCCGAACTGTCCAGCCATATGTTTAAAGTATCTTGTAAATTAGAGCCTAATAAGTTACACTGAAACGATTTAATTATCATATAAGAAAATAGAAGATGACGCACGTTAGGTCACAATACGCTAAATCGATAAAATAATAAAATAATGCACTACCGCTAAAATGGAAGTAAGAAAAGTTATTTCACTTCCCGATGATGATTGTACTATTGCTTTCAATCGATATTTACCACCATGTTTAGCAAGGATATTTAATTTATCTATATTTAAATTGTGAAGACCTGGCTGAGAAACAACTGCTGCTCCACTACGTATACTGGAGATTGTAATTTTTCCTCTTTCTACATAACGAGGTGTGGGCTCGTCGTCAAAGGAATGCCATAATCTTATTTGCAACCATCCATCGAAATCCAACTCGCTCTGAAATTATTCACGATACTTAGAACACATCAATGATTATTCTAAAATGAAATTATTCTCTACAAACATTACAAACTTCATCATACTTACAGCTGATATAAATGAAGACAAGCTCAGCACTAACAATATTTTAGCAAACGATGTATGCATTTTCATACTTAAGTCTACTTTATTGTTATATATTCAAAAATAAACTTGTGACTAATAAATTAGTGTCATTATTTTTATGGAAATCGATTAAAACCTGTGTCTCATTCTCAACCTCTTCATGGTTTCGAGGTTATGCAAGTGTTGTCACATCAGTCGCGGTACCAGCGCCATCTCGAGTAATAAACGAACGCCACCTCAGCCTGACGGCGTATAAAGCCACATTCACAATGTTAAACAACGCAAACCCTATTAGCTCGTGTTTACCTTATTGTTGTCTTCTAATACGTTGGCTTGGCATTGGTCGAAACTCTTAAGCCTAATTAATTTCCTAATTAAATAAAGCGCTCGTTGTGGATTTATGTTTAATTTGTCAGTACAGCGGGATTGACTTCCCTATGTACAAATCTGCACGGGTTAACATCCAGACAGACGTAAGAGAGAGAGAGAGAGAGAGAGAGAGAGAGAGAGAGAGAGAGAGGAAATTTTTGCGTTACTTGTTTATAAATTAGACAAGCTTCTCCTCAATATCGTAAAAGGAATTACAATAAGTAATTATACAGAGTATTAAAAGGTATTGTATATATTGCGTATTTTATTTTATCATTAGAGCGTAGGCAGATAGATCGGATGCCGGTATATAACTGTTTAGGTTAGCTTATGGAAATGTAGAATTGTTCATTTAATAGAAGTTAAGTTAGGGAAGAAAAGAATTTATTTTTTGTTTAAGAAGTTGCACGAAACAAGCCTATCGGCGTGTCTATATTATTCATTTATCCGTTATGTACTCATGTTTCTAGATGGATGAACAAAATCGAACAAACATTAATAAAACGATAAAAGATTCTTACCAGCGTAGTAGCTCTAGCAATATTTTAAGCTTACAAAGGGATAGTGTTCGTAGATCATCGATTGCAAGCGATAACGATGAAACTTTTCTTGAAACTCCCAAGCGCCAGAAACTTGATGATTCTAGTAATGGAACGTCGAGCCATAATATTGCTGAATCCGTACCAGGAAGTCCTTGGGAATGGAGAAGAATGAGAGGAGAAGTAAGCATATTTTAATGAAAAAATAATATTAATATTTGTTATTTAAAGGTAATTATTCTATGTAGATCATTGCATTAAAAACAAGGCTCTCTCATCAAGAAG